TCAACTTCGATCATTTCTCCGATTTTATCGACATTTTCGACGACCGGGCTACCTGTGCGAGGTGCATCCTTAACATCAAAAATTCCTGAACGGAATCTACGAAACCAAAATTGCACATAATTAGCTGTTACAGTATCGGAACCATAAACACCATTCACAATTTTAGCGGCCTGGCTTGCATTTTCGCCTTTGTCAAAGGAAAACTGTAAAATGTACCGAATTTTCTCTTTGTTCACTTCCATTTTTAACACGCTGTAACTCACAACAGAAAACAGCAAAAGAATTTTTTTTACTGCGAAATGTACAGTATGTAAATGTACAGTATCGGAAATTGTTTGATCGATACTTTACGAGAAATCTATCAGTGGAGTCATCTACCGAAAAAATAATGGATTTCTTTTTCCCCAAACTATTATTTTAAATAAACGAAATAAATGCACTTACCATTAGTATATATTATTTTATAACCTTGTTAAAATTGTTTAAAATCAAATTTCTGATTTTGAAATTTTTTGGGATTTTTCTTATTTCACTTTTTAACAAATTTCTTTTTGTAATTTTCAACCTCCTTTTCTTGCTCTTTTTGCAATTTTTTGTCGCTATCAGTCTCTTCTTACCACTCGTTACTCGTTGTATACTTGTGAAATGATTTTACTGAAACTAATTGAATTGCATTGAGTTGAATTTTCGTTAGAACGGTTAAAAGCCGTCATCTGGTTTTTTCTGGTTCCTAATAAGAATTCCCTTTTGTTGAAAATGGAGACGAGAAATCGTAGAGTTGTTTTCAATAAATGCAATTATCCCCGAGATGCAAACAATTTCATACATGTTTATATACATAAATATCCCAGACCATAAATATCCACGACCACAAATAACCCAAGCAATGCGGTTGTATACATGTTTATGTATATGTATACATAACGTGAATTCTGTCCGCACGCACTATTGTGATATCTGAAATCTGATTAAACATATTTTCTAAAGGTGATTAGAGGACAGAATTATAAGTTATAATAAGTTATAGTATATATATATATTTACTACATTTTTTATGTCTAAATACGCAGATGTACGCGCATTTGTAAAATTTTAAATCTAGTTAAACGTGGTATTGTTGTTATTGTTAGTTGACTCATAGGTTTGCGTTTCAGACACATTTTGGTTGATTTTGCTCATTTTGAGAGATCTGTCGATTTTTGGTAATGTTGAGAGACAAGTTGTTGCACTTGTGCCTATTTATTCTTTTTAATGAATTCTTTTTTTTTGTCCTTCGCAATTATTTTTTTTTTTCTATAATAATTGAGGAATTTTTGATTTTGTGCTTAATTTTTATTACAAAGTACACAATAACAACTGATTTCTTAACTTACTTGGACGCACAAATTATCAGCCGACTTCTCACTTCACAATCTTTTCGGAATCTCCACGTTTCATTTTCTTTTTCTTGCTTCATTAATGCCATTTCTTTTTTCTCTTTTTTTTTTGTTGTTATTAAATGAACCTAATTTTACTAATAGAGTAGTTGTAATGTCAAAATCTAGGCAACGTTAGCCTTGCATAATTGAATTTATTATACTTTTTTGCTAAAAAAACAAGACCGCTCTTTTCCAATAGCTTTCCACATTATTTCGTATCGATCAAAAGCAACATTTTTTTTTTCCTTATATACCTCTAGACTAAAAACATTTTTTCTGCTTAAACTTTTCTTAATCGTCTATTAATGCTTCCCAACCATTTGTTTTACAAAATAAAATCACCTTTTATCAATAGTTTTCATTTTGTTTTATAAAAAAAATCATCTACATTATCCACTTATTAAAAAAACTTTTTTTCTTTGCTTCTTATTTGCCTGAACAAAACTTCAGATCATCTCGAATCATCTCCCTGCTGAGTTTTCTTCAAGCCCAAAAAAAAACTTTTTTCGTAAAGTTCTTCTTTTCGTTTCTTTTCACGATCCCTCTGTTACGAGGAACGTACAGAATAGTTTTCTGCATTTAGCCGTTACTTTTAATTTTAATTTCTCTGTACACAATCCGCATGCAATAACAATATATATAAGTGTATAAAAAAAGAGCATTTATCTCCCCTTGAACGCATCCTGACTTGTTTTAGTAAATTTTTAGAGACCTGGCATTCGATTTTCGCATATTTTTGAATATTTCCTGCACATATTCTTTAATAAATTATATATTCTTCTTCTTTCTATTCTTCGTATATTCTTCTTCTTCATTTTAATATTCTTCATATATTCATTAATAATGTTTAATATTCTTTCTATTCCTCATATATTCTTCTTATATTCTTTGATACATACTTTATCTTCATTTTAATATTCTTCATATATTTTTAAATAATCTTCATATATTCTTCTTATATTTCTATGCATTCTTGGGAGCTAATCAGATCA